ACACACACACACACACACACACACACACACACACACACACACACACACACACATACACACACATACACACACACACACACACACATCCTTGTACTTGCATAAAACTAGGACATTGCATTGACTTCCGTTCATTTTTATAACTGTATTTACACCTAACCCAGGTATTTTCCCTTAAATTAACCATTACTGGTCTATACCTAACCCTAACCTAAACCAAAACTTAATTCACACTATACCACTAAACCTAACTAGTAGAGTGCAGCAGAGCTAAAAATAAAAGTGAGGACTGGGAAAATGTCCTCAGCTGAGTGTTGGTGTAAGTTAACACTTATGTAAAGAAGACTAAAATGATCAAAATTTGCTTCATAAATATTTCATAAAGAACAAAATTCACTTAGGCATGCTTGTTTTACAGATCAGGAATACGCACAGTAAGTCTAATAAACGCTTCTAAATTAAAGAGCTCACAGGCTGTTACCAAACATTAAACCGTGTTATTTTCCCATTGAGTACAAGTGGAAATGTTAAAGATTTGTAATTCATAAATCTGTATCTGTACATGGCTTATTAAAAATACATGTCTGATATTAGGAATTTGCATGCACCTGCTGTGCTTCATTTCCACAATCATTAGCTATGAATAGATTCAGACACTCCTTCCATTAATCATTTGCCAGAATAAAGCCAGAGTCATGCTTGCACATTATTATTATGCAAAACTATTTATAACACGTAGTTGAATAAATAAAAATAAAATTAATCATTAGGCTTCGGTGTAGTTTGTAAATATTCTAATTATACATATTAAGGTAATTGAAAAATCAAACCTCTGAAATTGGGTTTTTAATTTTTAATTGATTATCATCTTGTATTTTTTTCTTTTTCGTGCTTTATAAAAAATATGTAATATGCATGATTTGAAACATTTGAAAGGTTTAGGCATCAAATCTTTTAGGGACAAGTTTGAAGTTAAACTGTGATCAAAGCAGGGACTGAATGGGTTAAACAGAGTTTGTCAACAGCTGGGGACTGTTCGATGTTGGTCACAGTTTGTTCATTTTGTGGATTTCTATAAAAGTCCCACTGGACTCACCGGTTAGTGCGTTCTGTAGGGAGTTGGTGTTTTATTAAAGGGCGTTTTAGGTTTTAACCAGCTGGAGAAGCATCACACACAAAAGCAGAGACTGGAAATGTTTAGGATTTCAAAGGAGGAGCTTGATGAGAGAGCAAATTAATCTTGACACATGTCTCCATCTCTCTCACACACACAAACAAAATATTAATCGGTTCACATCACCGATGTACAAAGGGTGGCAGACAGGGTTCTTAAAGAATTCTACATGATTCTGGCAGCTCAATAATTAATGAGGTGAGCTCGTTCTTCTTAACGATACTCTGCTTTCTGCTGGAGAGAGGAAGGTCTGTGGCATGACACGAAGAAGGAGTCTTCCCGCATTTTCTTTTCGCCTCGCATCTATTGGTGTGGACAGTCCACCCCACACCAAGTTACCGTGTGGTCATTAAAACACAGGACCACAGATGCATGCAATTGCTTTTCTAATCTTACCTGGCTGAATTGGAACAAGGAGGAAGAGGCTTGGGACATTTTCCCAAGGGAGACATATGCTGTAATCAGACTAGCCTTTTGTTTTGGTTTCTTACCAGAGTTTACAGGTCATTGAAGAGGGCAGCATCATGTGGCTTGTTCACAACATGCAATCTGAGATAATCAGAATCAGTTCATCAGTATGTCTGAATGGTCATCACCCATCTCTGAAGACAGAGGTGGAGCAATAATGTTTTTGTCTGCATGTGTGTGTTTGTTTGTACTGTTAGCAAAATATTTCATGAAGCACTGAATGGGTTTTAGAGAAATTGTCAAAAAGTGGTATTTGGATGTACTTCTAAAATCGATTCCATCTTTTAAAATCAACCTGATTCAAGACTGCTGTCACATATATATATATATATATATATATATATATATATATAAAACGAAACACAATCTCAGCAAATGAAAATCGGCTACAATTAGCCATTTCGACTGATAATGACTGGAATTTTGATGGGAATTTTAATAGGACTGATAGATAAAGTGAGCTCTGTGCTCAAAACTTTACTATTAACAATTGGGATCATACAGAGTATTAGGGCCACCCAAGATTTTTTTTAATTACAAGAATAAAATCCTAATATTACGAGAATAATATCACAATGTTACATGACATGTCAATTTTCCATTCCTGACTTTTTGCTCATTTTCCTAACACCTGCTGTGGACTGCCATGTGTGTCTCTGTGTTTATGAAGTAGTCTGCTGTGATCTCTGGGTCACTGTTAGCGTAATTATATGCTTCCTTCCAAATCATATGATGACTAATGTCAATCCAACCATGCAATATAGCTTCAATTTACCATATAGTAATTTGCACAATCTTTTCAAAGTCCTCATAATTTCATGCTAATGTGCTAAAAGAAAAAAAAAATATTTTAACCGATACCAAAGAACAGCTGTAATATTATGACTTTATTCTCACAATACTAAAAAAAATGTTGTTTGACCCTAATACTCCCACCATAGAATCAGGTCTGTCTGCAAACAAAATATTTCTTGAAACGTTAGATCGATAGAATTAAAGTGCCTGTGACATCAATTTTTTTGTAATAAATATAAATGCATTTTTTAAATAACACTAATAATGTATTGCAAAAGAAATTTCATGCAGCTGAGATGAACAGTTGTTGAAATCTTTGCACGTGAAGTAACAGGAAGTGATGACAGTCACTAGAAGATCATGCTTTTATTGAGTGCTCTAAAAAATGTTTCAGAAAACCAGACAGGAAAAAAAAACTCCCAAGGTGTCTCTTCCCCTTTCATCTGTTGTGTGATGAATGTAAATTGCATAATTCTGACTTTGAGGAATAAAAAAATCTGTGCTGGTTTCTTTTTAATAATCTGCAGCATGATGAAGTAAGCTCCTGATAGATCACCCTCCAAATGATCAGTCTGGCTTCAGCTGAGATAATTTAATACAAAATGCTCTGCCATAGTTTTTTCTTCCTTCCGCACAGAATTCATTTGACACCGACACACAGAGAAACATTACCTCACCTACAGGGCATCGCTCAGGGTTTGTTACTTTATTAGACGGTGAATGAAGATTATGGGATCTGCTGATATTATTAGATAAATCACTGATGCTGTTTGCCAGTCAGTAATTAGGAAGCCTTTGCAAATCAAAACACTGAGCCGAGCTTGTATTCATCCACAACTACCTGTCAGATTCACTTTATTAGATGTTTAGACACAATAAAATGAAGATTTTTGAACAAGTTTAAATTCAGTTGAAGGTTTTAGTGGTGACCAGATGGTAATGGAAATTTAAAAGGTCTAATATCCACTGAAGGAATGCAAATTCAATCATGGTTTCAAGTAAAATATGGCCTTCAGAACCCAAAATGTTCTTCATTATGCTTCATAATTTTTTTTGTTCCGCTCTCGGGGGAGTAAGACTCTTTTTCCCTGCTCTCCTGCCCTTCCTTATCTTCACTGCTTCGCTGCTTGGAGCCTTCCCTACGTTTTTCATCCGAAACCAGAAATTAGGGATATTTTTATGGATTTGGTTAGCTGGTCTCTCAATAAAACTTTTGGAACAAAGTTTTTTTTTCTTCCATGGGAGGACATGTCAAAGGTGGGACCTCTGTTCTTCTCTGTTCTGGTTATATATCTGGACTCCAATCACTGGATTCTACAGATTGGCTCGGTGGTCTCCTGGTGTCCTACAAAACAGCGTCGGGGGCTTTTCATTTTCTGGCTGCCTGACAAATTTGATGGATGGCCGTATACTATTCAGCACTTGGACATTTGCCTTGTGCGAGCTGGACTCGGTCTTCAAGTGGTTCTGTTGAGGGTCGCGGGCCGGCTGTGGTCCCTGGACTTTGCTGGCCAGATGGAATTGATCTTGGAGAAGCTGATAGATTGGCTCGGCGGAATTTGTCCACATTTTATTTGTCTGATTGGATTCGCAACCTTTGAGATGCACCAGCAGACATTAAAGCAGATGGAAAATTGTTATCGTCTGCCTGTCTCTTTCTGTTCCCAAAACAACTGATTACAGGATCTGGCTCTCCCCAACAACGACCTTGGATCTGTTGACAAAATTCTTCCTGGCTGGATATGTCGACAAGGCTCAACCCCACACCTCCCCCTCTCCTCTCTCGCCCGTTTGATTCTGGTCTCCTGAGCTGGCTGGGGGCTCACAGAATGAACAGTACCATCAATATTCTGAACTTTGGCTGCGCTTGTTTAGGGGACTGGATTTTTCGGGCCCCCACTAAACTCACTCACTTCCTCTGGCTAATAAATCTGCCCTATGCAGAGTTTTTTTTTTTTTTCATAAACACCGTATGTGTCACAGTGTTGATATAATATGAGGTTTTTGTTTTTTTCCTCATCTTCCCTTGTGTGGTTTTTCTGTTGTTGTTTTTTTGTTTGTTTAAGATGGCGCCACGGTAGACAGCCCGTTGCAGCTCCCATGTCTTGAGTTGCTGTAATGTGCAAATTTCCCCATTGTGGGATCAATAAAGTTCTGTCTTATCTTATCTTATAGTGTGATGAAGCTGGAGGTCTACCATGAATGTGAATTAATTAAAATATGAAACACTGCAAGATCATAACATTTCTCTTTGATTAATAGGTTGACCTTAAATATTAATAAAGCATTCATAAAAATGTCCTGATGCATTTGTATCCAATGAGCCTAAAGCATGAACTTGAGGCTACAGTCGTGTTAGCAAACAGGTTCTTGTGAATCTACAAAAAACTTGGACTGACTGGGGAAATTATG